GGAGTTTTTCCTTCCCACTGTCGCCAAAGTGCTTGCTCATAGGGGGTCATATGATTGTTGGGTTTTTCTCTGTATCTATGAAGCGCCTTGAGGTGACTTTTGTTGTGATTTGGCGCTATATAAATAAAATTGAATTGAATTGAATTGAATTGAAAAGACTGACAGACAGACTTTCCTTGTTGGTAAGGGTTGGGGTTAGGAGACTGTAGCTACGCCACTGTGGGCTCTGCTGCTGATGGAGGATCGTCTGATTAAACTGAACTGAAGAGGTGGAGGAAGCTTCAGGTCTCAATGGTGAAAGGACAGTGAGATGAACAGAGCCTCTAACCCTCCTCAGGTCATTTTAAATAAATGAATAAATAAATAAATAAATAAACTTTTTGGAAAAATGCACTTCTGAAGTACTTTTATGGCACCGTGCTCACTCACTCGTGAGCTGCTGCAACATGAATCAAATGGCTGAATTGCCACCTCAGCATGCAGACAGCTTCTACAGAGTCTTGCTAATGACCTGCTAGTTGTATTCAGGTGTGTTGCAGCAGGGACACATGGAAAGGTTTCAGGACAGCGGCCCTCGAGGACTGGAGTTTGAGTTAGACAATACAGTCCACATACTTCCATTTGACCCTGGGGCCTAACCATGTAAACACTGGATTTCAAAGGATGTGAAGACCTTTTATTCGCTCACACATGAGAAAATGATCATTTAAAGACTGATTATCATTTTAATAATTCAGACTATTTTAGATATCTCCAATTAAGGACCTACTTCCAGCAGAACATTGTCACCAGAACTGATCTATATGATCCAATACTGATCCTTCTTCTGAAGGCGAGTGGAAACAGGTAAGGCTGCGAGGGTTTTGATACAGGCTGTGATAAAGAAAATGAAGGAAACATTTCAATATTAAATGAAGAATCATTGGACGAATATTTGTCCTTGTGGAAATGTACAAATTCCAGTATATGTCCAGCTGGAAATGTCTGATCTGTTTTTTCATCTGGACACAGGTACACTGTTGGAGGTTAGGTGGGCCGTTGGCACATGTTTTGAGGCTTCCCTATGATTAATAGTGATGGGTCGGTCGCAAACGAAATGGCTCTTAGAGCCGGATCTTTGACGTGAACGACGCGAGACGGCTCCTTATCGCGAGCCCTGGGGGTTTTTTTTCTTTCTCTCAACCTCTCTCTCGCACTTTTTTCCGCTTCACTCAGCACGCGAGCCTTGTGCTTTACGCTGGGAAGAGGGGGGAGGGACGGTAGTTACACTCAGTAGCACAGGAACAGAGCAGGAGGGAGAGACAGAGAGAGACAACAACGTCACATTAGAAAGGTATAGTAATCATCCACTATTTTCAGTTGCAGATGATAAAGGATTCAGAAAGTTTATT